CCCCAATTCACCCTCCCAATCCCCTACTGGTCCACCCATCCCCCCTTGAATCGCATTGTGGTTTGCATCACACAGGCGATATCTATCCGCATGCGAATCCCATCTCTTGTATTTGTTTTATTACGTTTATTTAATTTTCGGTGATTTTTTTGCACTTTTATTTTGCATTAAATAGTTAAACCCTTCACACCTTCCTGCATCATGAACCATTTGCTATTTCATCCAGACTTCCATTCCCATTTGATTGCAATCCATGTCCTTGTCAGGACATCCGTTACAATTGGAATGGTACAAAGAGAGAAGTTTGTTTGTTTGTTCGTTTGTTCGTTTGTTTGTTTGTTTGTTTGTTTGTTTGTTTGAAGCTAATTCTTTTAAGCCCAACCAATTCAATTACCTGTCAAATCTGGACAGGACGGCCTTTCAGGCCCTTTTTTTTTTGTCATTATAGTATTACGGGGAACCCCGTAGCAGCCACATCCATGCTCAAGCCTCCAACGGGGGAACATGCGGGAGCTGCACCCACCAGCAGGTGGGCGATACCGGCCAGGGGTCAGCGGGTAGCATCAGCATGGCCCCTGGGCACGGATGACACACATAAATTGAGAAATTGTCCAGATTGTTTGAGCTATCGGCAAACGAATATCTTGGCGCCCGCAACGATGAAGAGTGCAGCGAAATGTGATACTCCACCTGAATTGCAGAATCCATGATGCTCGATACCTTGGAAGGCTTGAGCGCATGTTTAAAAAAAAATACTACTAATAATTTTAAAAAAATCATTACCGAACTGACCGGAACCAAGTAATTCAGAGTTATCTAATTCATCTGATTCTGCCAGGATTTATCGATAGTTGCATGGATGGGTGTGCCATTCAGCCATATGGGCTGAGGTCCTCTTGATATCATTTAACTCAGTGCGGCATTTGTGGTATCACTGGTATGCTGGCAGACAGGGATTTTGTGGAGGGGGGGATCCTGAAGCAAATAATCCGTGGAGCAGACCGCATTCAGGAATTAATAATGTCAAGCCCAAATTTGGGACCGGTGCCTTCGATGAAATGTTGAGGTGGAGTTTGAAGGACATGGAGGCAATGATGGGTGAGAGGGATGGATTGCCACTGGAATCACTGGATGCATTGAACAAGGTGATTTTCTTTTTCTTTCCTTTTTTTCTTTTCTTTTCTTTTTTTTTGGAAGAAGGTGAGTTTCATAAGTCACAAGTAATTCAAAATTTTCAAGAGAGAAACAATACTTCTTCGTTGCTCGTGAGGTTTGTCGGTCTCATCAGTTTGGAGGTCTCTGGGCATGGTAGTCGTCGACTTTGAGGTCCTCAAAAGGGGAAACAACCTTCACTTTGGGCAGGCCGGTTCTCGGTTACATGGTCAATTGACATGCTCTCTGAGGTGGACAAGGGTTGAAGGGTTTGTGGAGCGCTGGGTTAGAAATTCGCAGCTCGTTAACGGCCCCAACTTTCGGGATGAACGCGGCTGGGCCTCTAGTATAAATTCAGTCAAGCGGAAACATCTTCGTTTTTTCTTTTGGCTGGCCGTTCACGAGAGGCGCCATTCTCGGACGTACTGGCGGTTTAACCTCACGAGAAGGTTCACGAATGGCGCCTCTCGTGAACGGCCAGCCAAAAAAAAAAGCGAAGATGTTTCCGCTTGACTGCATTTATGCTAGAGGCCCAGCTGCGTTCATCCTGAAAGTCGGGGCCATTCACGAGCTGCGACTTTGGGAAGTACTGGTGGTTCAAGGAGGTTGTTCCCTTGGGCATTAATGATTGAGCAAGTTTATTGCCAATGAGCGGTGATCCATCCACGGGAGTGCTTTGTTTTTTTTGTTTTGCTTTCTGGTCGATATGAAGAATGTTTTCAAGGGTATGGACATGGAGCCAGGACCATAAGGGCCTGTTTGATAATGAAAATAAAATTAAAAAAAAGAATGTTATCGAGGGTAGTGTTCTTGTCAACGGGTTCATTCTGCTGCAAACAGGTGGAAAAAGAGCAACTGGTTTACAGAAGAAGAGTTACGATTCCAAGTCCTTTCTTTGAGGGGAAGACTTCAGAAACGACATCGAGTCAGTTCTGCCAGCCCATTGGGGTTGCGCTTCACTGCACAACATGTTAAAAAAAAGATATCTCTAGCTGTTAATGGTCCCCGTTACGTATGTGTTCCACATTGCAGTCCAGATTCATGCCGAACGTTGAGTAGTGGAGCAAGACCCATTGACTCACTTATGTATGATGTCCTTATGTTGGTGTTTGTGTCCTATCTAGTAGAGAGTTACTACCATGTTGACTTTTCATCCTGACCAACTTGTGACATCTGCTGTTGAACAAAATGCATGAAGAAAATACCCCATTGTCGAGGAATTCCGCTTGTTCATGTTGTTCGCTAAATTTGGTTTAGCATTTAGCTACTTGCTACTTTTTTCAAGGCAGACTGGACTTGATCTTCTGCTACAAAATAATTTAGTTTGTTTCATATGACCTTGCCTCTGTGTAGGCCGAAGGCCACGGCTCTGCCGAAGGCCACGGCTCTTGCCCGGGTGCACTCACCCCCCCCCCTGGGAGGGCAGGAGGGTGGTCACTACTCAATGCCATTCTTGTTCCCACATGTCAGAGACAACTACTGTAGGCCCACTCGGGACAAGTCTTTAGCAAGGAGTTTGTCCGTCTCTCAGGGTTTAGAGATGATGTGTGTGCGTGGACTGAAAGAGGAAGTGTATACCCCTGACCAGCAATAAGGCAAGTGGTCCCCCACCAGGCAGTCCAAAGTCAAACATCATCTATTTGCCATCCACAAGTCGGACCTTGACTCGACACTTAGACCCATTCAAGCTCATTGTCCATTCAAGCTCATTGTTTGGAAGAAACTGGCCAGCCTTGCACAATGAAATGGGAGTCTCTAGTGTTACGCTAACAGAAGCTCACACACATCCCTAACATGCCGTGGATCATCCGAGCAGGCCATCGACATGTATATGTGTATGTGTACGTGTATGTCCAATGCAAGAATTGAACACACAGCCTCCAGCTTGCCAGGGGAGATACCTAACCAATAGGCTAAGTGGGCTGGGGTGAAAGTGAAGCCCCAAGCGAAGTACGTCATGGACATGGCCTGTCAGAGAGGAAGCCAGCAGCCACGGCCATGGACAGATCTGTGATTCATGAAAACCTTGTTGGCTATGGTGGATCTACCATAGCCACCACTGCCCACCACGCAAGAGCAACTATAAGGAGCGTCTTAATGATGGGGAATATCCTTATGCGGCTTGTTGGGACGGATTGGACGAGGAGCTAAAAGTGGACTTGCTTTTGTGATTGGACTGTGGCCTCAGACCTAATCTGGCCCGCCACTTTCTGTCTAGGATTTCTGCACCTGTTACGATCCTGGCCAATTTCGAAGTACAAATCCACGAGAAAGCACAATGCCGACCAATTGCAAAAAGAAATGAATGAACTTGAGAGAGAGAGAGAGAGAGAGAGAGAGAGAGAGAGAGAGANGAGAGAGAGAGAGAGAGAGAGAGAGAGAGAGAGAGAGAGAGAGAGAGAGAGAGAGAAGAAGAAGAAGAAGAAGAAGAAGAAGAAGAAGAAGAAGAGGAAGAAAGAAAGAAGAAGAAGAAGAAGAAGAAGAAGAAGAAGAAGAAGAAGAAGAAGAAGATGTACAGCAGCAAAAACCAAAGATAATTCCCTTCCTCTCGCCAATCAATCCCTCCTCCTTCCCCCCCCCGCCCCCCCTCTTTATTCAAACAATAAACGATAATAATAATGATGAATGGCCGCACCAGAATCAATGTCCGAATCCCTCTTCTACTGCAGGCACAACATGAGGTCCACCATAGCCATGGCCACCCTTTTGTGTTCCTCTTCATGTAGGCCAAGGCTATGGCGGACTACTAGGGCCTTGCACTGCTGTGCAAAAGACAACTCAAAGCAGCTATGCCCGCTGCTAGGCCGCCATGCCTGACTCTGCCTTGAAGCCTTCTTGGTGCGGCGCAACCCCAACTGGGGCCTTCTAGATGCAGCGCCTAACAAGGTGATGACAATGGTGCCCACCATAGCCAGGTAGGTACCTCGACACTCTCCTCCCTAGCCCGCTCCTTCCTCCTCCTCCTACCGGTAGAGCTCCACCATAACCAAGGTGGAAGCTCCCGGTCTCCTTCCTCCTAGCAGCGCTGTAATGCCCAGCGATCCTCCCACCAGCGCTCTGCTTGCTCCAGCAGTACAACGCCCAAACTTGCACACCGCAAATGAGGAGGAGCACTGCGCTCCTCCTGGAGATATAGCGGCCCACTTGCCTCTGGGGCGGTGACTTCCAGGCCGTGAGGCCTCCAATCAACTGGTACCTCCTCCCTTTGGGAGGGAAACATCATTGCAGACTCTGACATTACCCGTACACTTTGTACAGGCCCTAGACTCAGGGTACTGGACTACCTGAGTGTTTTTCCCCGATGCTCTAAGTGTCTCGGGCCTATTCCCGCCACTTGAGTGTTTCCTCCCACTGCAACCCTCAATGTCACGGCCACAGGTAAGTACCGGCCCTACGGGGCCTCCCAAGCAAGCAAGTACCCTTGCGGCTCACACACACTCAGCCCGACAAGCACCTAGGCAGGCACGCAGACCATCAAGCACACACACACACACAGACTTAGAAAACTCAGCAGAATGCGGGAATCTCAGCAAGGCATCCATTCCAGCAGCAAAGCTCAGAAATCAGTAGTGTTCTCAGTCTGTGTTTTGGTGGGTCGTTACACTACCCCCCTCTCAAGAGTGAGGTCCCTTCCAGCGAGTAACTCACTCAGAATCCCTGCACAACGCATCATAGGCGTAGATGGCAAAGAGTGATCGTGTATGTTCTCTAGGAGTGAGGGTAGCAGTAAATTTTGGTTGCTGTTCGGAGACAATCAGTTGTTCACGACTCCCGGTGCACTCTGCAGCACATCTTTCCTAGAAATCAATAAAAATCATCTAGCGGGTGATACAGAAAATGGACCTTGTATTGCCTGTTCTTCCCCTTTCCACTATGTTCGACAATGCTATCAATCTCGTGACCGCCATTGATTGCACGAGGGATTATCGATTCTCGATACAGAAAAGTTTCAGGCGATAGATACGGAAACAACTTTCATGCGTGAAAGATTGGGTATGTGCGCAGATGAGGCTGCACGTCAATCACATAAGGACAGAATGAATCATCCCCCACCTGTTTCAGCACCTGCCACGGACCATAATACCGAGGAAGAAGCTTTTGCAATGCCCCCTCTTCTTCAGAAAACTCAGACATTTTGACCCAGACGTAACTTCCCACTGTGAAAGGTTCAGGCTGGCGCTTCTTGTTAGCATCTTTAATCATGACACTGCACCGCCTCTCCATAGCTGCAACAACAACTTTGAGCAAGCGATCAACTTAGCGTTGTCGCCAGGCTGGCCAGGTGTTAGACGAGGTGTCAGATCAAGAAACAGATAGGATAGGGGATTGTGAATCTGTCACCAGAGGTGCAACCGATTAGCTGTCATCCCAGTGGAGGAGTGTATGGAGTTGTTGTACAACCCCTGCACAATCGATGATTCCTCATCCCAAGAGTTCTGATCGGGAACAATAAGAGCACGGAGAAGTTGGATCACGGTCTGGTTGATTTCCTCAGGCAATCCATTGACTTTGGGATGCCAACCAGATGTCATCTTGAGTTTGATGTCGTAGGTCTGGGAGGTGAAATCTTTCCAATCTGCACTTATGGACCTGGTGGAGCCCCATCACTCACAAGAGTTTTCGGGGGGCCATACTGCCGAACGTATCTTTGTTAAACTCCTCGATCACAAGGTTGGTTGGGGCGTGGGGTGGCAAAGGAATCAGATTCAGGTATTTCTAGAAGTGGTCAACGATCACCATCACTTGCGTCTATCCATTCCTGCTCTTCTTTCCCATGCCTGTGAAAGTCAATGGAAACAGACTCGCCAAGGTTATCAGGGATAGGAAGAGGATGCAGCAGCCCATAGGGCTTTTGCCGAGATGGTTTGATGCGTTGGAAAACTTGACACTCAGCCACAAACTTTCGGGCCATTCCTTTTATCCCCGGCCAAACAAAGTTTTCCAACAGGCTTCCGTAGGTCTTTTCAAAACACCGAAGTGTCCATTTCGAGTATGAGCCAAGTCCAAGAAGTGAGTGTGGAGCGTCTCACGAAAAGAGCGCCTTGCAGCATGGGCAAATCGTACACTCCATTTCCACAGTGGCCAGAATCGTGGCCTGATGCATTTGAATCGTTTTCAAAGGAATTATTGGAAAAAGATACCGTTGCATGTTGTCTCAAGTTGAGAACCCCAGAATCAGTGCCGGATCGTGGAGAACAGAGTAGGACTAGGGATTTCAGTGAATGTTGGGGATTCTTCAGCGAATGCAGGTGAAATCCCAAAAAGGGAAAAAAAAAGTGAAAACGCCAGTGGAGCCTGCAATTCTTCGAGGAAAACCCTCGAAGAACTGCAGTGGATCACAACCCTAAAAGTCATGGAATTAACTGACACCTAGTTGTACCAACAGGCCTAACTGAATTGGCACACCCCATGAGCTGTTGAAATACAGTCCTGAGTTCAGATCCAGATGGAACTAGTCCAATGTATTTCTGAGTTATCTGGGCCCGTTCAGTTCAACGATGATATCTCAAAGGCAATTGCCCTTTTTTTCGGGTTGGGGGGGGGGGGAGGACAAAAAAAAAAGTGACCTTTATCATGTGATGTTTTTTTATCCATTCAGGTATTTGTGGATCAGAAGGATGATAATCTCAGCAATTTTTTCCTCAGGCTTGGGGTGTCATGCACACCATTTGAGAAGAATATCCACCCAGATGAAGGATGCGGGGAAAGACTACGTGAGGACATAGAGAAAGGTACACAGAGGGAAGAAGGTCACCCTCTTGTCAGTGAACAGCAAGCTGGTGATTCTTCCAATCCGCTGCGCAAACAAAAGAGTCCTACAGATACAGAGACTGGTCCAGGAAACAAACCAGGATCTGATAATTTTCCATATGGTGTCAGTGGTGGTGCTGTTGGCGGTCCAAGGGGCTTAAAAGGGATGTCATCATCATCAATGGCAAGTGCGGCAGCGGAGGAGCTATCGCACACAGGTTGCCTCTCAGCAGGTGATCTGCTGTGGATGGAGCTGAGAATGGAAGAGGCACAGCTCATTCTGCAGCAGGGCTCTGGTGCCAGCAAGCCCCAGGCCCTTCCAAACTATATTGCCAGCGACAAGGACGCAAAGCAAAATGATCGCAGTTCTCAGAGGCTTGCACAACCAGATGACAGTGAGCGAAAAACGACGATGAGCGGCGCTGGACCATCTATTCCACCTCCAGCAGTGCACGATGACGACAACCATACTTGCCGTGCCGTCGCCCCAGCAGATGGGTGCACAGGCAGTCCATCATCCAGAGTGACACTTCAAGAGAAAAGCAAGAGCCAAGTGGATACAGCGTCAGCAGCCATGAAAGAAGACGTCACGCACCAGGTTAGAACAGACGCAGAGGTGGACAGACCTCTTGGGAAGTCTAGGTCATTAGAGAGTACTCGTGCGCAGGAGGTCGATGCTCATCAGTCCGGCATCTCTGATTGTCAGAGGAATAACTCTAAAGATTCAGAGTCCATCTCTCGTGTCGACGAAAGTGGCTCCAAGCACAGCATGTGCTGTAGTGAGCAAACGCAGTTTCCGATGGCAGCACTTGGTGAACTCCATAGCGATAAGCCTCCAAGTAACAGAGAGACTGCAAAAAGACACCAAACTACTGTGATTTCTACGGAGAATGATGCGGTGGATTGCACCAAGTGTGAGAAAGATGGTGTTGAAAAAGCAGCGCATCAGAGTGTCAGGCCCTGTGAACCAACAAATCTCAGCCCTTTCAGCGGCGTCCAAACGGGGCAGCACCCCGTAAACTCCTTGAATGCAATCCAATGTTTGCCCGTGGAGGGCACACCAGATCACAAGTACAACTTCGCAAAAATCACAGAGGAGGGTGGGAGGGAGGAAGTGGAAGGAGAGGAGGATGATGCAGTTGCGGAGACAGGGTCCCAGAGGATGGACAGAGTGAACCACCATCGCGTTGTTGTCGGAGAGTCAAGCAAGTCAGAACAGGTCGACGGCGGTGTTGATAACACTGACAGGAATTCAAACATGACAGAGGAAGGAAGGAAAGAGAAAGCGGGAGGAGAGCATGATGCAGTTCTCCCAGGAGACGATGATGCAGTTCTACGAGGAGAGGATGATGCAGTTCTCCGAGAAGACGATGATGCGGTTATTGAGAGCGCTTTCGAGGGGGTGGAGAGAGTTAGCCATCACGTCACGGGAGAATCAGGCAAGTCGGAACGGGTTCAGAGTGTTGATGATACCGGCAGGAATTCAAACAGTGGGCATGCGCATGCACGCACGACACAGGAGAGGGATCGGGTAACACCGGACCAGATGAGTGAGCATGAGGAGAGAGAGGGAAGGCAACAGCATCCTGTGAGGAGCGCACCTGCAAATGCCAAGGCACCTAAAGCGGCCGAGAAGTTTGGTTTCGATGACGACAGGCTGAATGGGGTTGCAACGAGGAAGAAGGATCAGGTACAAATGGATGAGAGCTGGGAGCCTGGGGTGGGGGAACAGGGAAAATGGCATGAGCCTAAGAGAAGGGCAGCTACTGATGAGAAAGAAGCGAAAGTGGCTGGGAAGTCTGCTTGCGATGAAGACCAAATGACAACTGGGGTTACAACAGGGAAGAAGGATCAGGTACAAACAGACAGGAACTGGGAGTACCGGTGGAGAGAACAGGATAAACCGCGTCATCCTGTGAGGAGGGAACCTGCAGATGTCAAGGCAACTAAAACGGCCCGAACGACTGCTTCCGATGAACAACGAATGACTGAGGTACGTTCCAAAATATCATCGGTTTTCGACTTCATGGATGACGACGATGACAATGGAGAACCAGAGGTGCAGGCAAAGGACGCTACTTGGCAGCCAGCCAAAACTGCTTCAACACTGGCTAGCCTCAGACGGGTCACCAGCGTAAACGGCCACAGGAATGTGCGAAATACCCCTACAGATGGAGCGAGAGACAGGCACCAGGAAAGGGGGGGTGTGACAAAAGGGAAAGCTGTTTCGTTCATGGACGTGGATGCAAATGAAAGACGAGCGGGAAAGGACAGGTCAGCTGATGGGAATAGCGCGACCAATCAGACAAGTGAGAGATCATCAAGCTGTTGTGACACCGGAGCTCGCAGCCAAGGGAGGACAAGTGGTGAACGCAGTCAAGCAATTGCGGCAGCGGGCCCCGAAAACGCGGCAACGAGAGTTGTTAACAAAAATGCCGAATGCAACAATGGTAATGCTCAACAGAACTTGGATAGGCTCGATCGTGGCAATAAGGCTGCGCTCCGGGACATGCCAACACGGGCCATACGCTTGCGGAGAACTCACAGAAACCTCACAGAGAAGGAGGTGGAAAAGCTCGTCGAAGGTTTTAACAGCCTTGGCCCTGGCAGGTGAGTGCTCGTCATATGTGCTCTGACGCCACCAGCTTCACTGTGAAGTTTTCTGTGTGTTTTTTTTTGTGTGTGTGAAAGAAGGGTTTAGCCCTTTCACGCGCTTTCCATGCTGATGTCTGTTGATGGACTCATGGTGATAACCGTGTTGCTGTCTGCATGTGTTCCCCTGGTCCCTTCCTTCCATGGTTTGAAGGATAGGGTCCCTCTTCTTGTTGCCATGTCTGTGTATGGTGTGGTTGGATGCAATCTGTGCTCAAATGGTTGGACGGTATAGTATTACCTTCACAAGGGTCTTGAAGCACTAAACTTTGTGAAACGAAGTTTGCCCTTATAGGGCAAAGCAGCGGGAGAACCCCGTCCTACATCAATGTGAATGTCATTTCAGCTTGAGTTCATGATGTCATTCTTCTTCCTCTTCTTATTCTTCTTCTTGTTCCTCTTCCTCCTCTTCTTCTTCTTCTTCTTCTTCTTCTTCTTCTTCTTCTTCTTCTTCTTCTTCTTCTTCTTCTTCTTCTTCTTCTTCTTCCTCCTCCTCTTCTTCTCCTCCTCCTTCTTCTCCTCCTCCTCCTCCTCCTCCTCCTCCTCCTCCTCCTCTTCTAAATAGAGTCTCTAATTTAGAGAATAAGAACTGTCAATAACAGAAAGATTTTAATTCAAAGGTTCCGTATACAAAACTGGTTCAGAATCACGATCAATTCCATTTTCAAATCCAGCTGCAGCAATAGAGCACAACAGCAAATAAAGATGAGACATAGTTATACATGTAAATATTTACTATCTTCCCTATATATATATATCGTCTATATATATATATATCGTCTATATATCGTCAAATATATATCGTCTATACAGAGCACTATGGGCTTGAGTGGAAGGAAACTACAGCTACAGATGGCTCGTGTACCTTTTTAGGTATGCATCTACGAGTACGTTCTGATGGTTCGCTTCGCATGAGCGTGTTTGATAAAGCGGCTGCTTGGGATTTCCCTGTTATTCGCTATCCAAGTGCTACCTCCAACATCCCTTCCCATCAACCGGCAGGTGTGTTCACTGGGCAATTGACCAGATTTGAAC